TTAAAACATACTCATAAACTGCATTCCTTAAAAGCTGATACAGTAATAGAACATTTTTTCATGTATTTTAGAAGTAAAACTGCTGAAGTAAGCAGGCTTAACAAGGGATCTAAGACATTGTTAAGTCTAAGGGACTTCTTTTCTGTTAAGAGATATCAGAGTTAACTGCTTTGTCTTCCTTTCTCCTACTCACCTTGCCTGTCTCAGCAGTGCCCCCTCCTTCTCCTGCCCCCTTCCCCACCCTTGGTATTTTAATCACTGCTTTCTGTTCAGCAGCTCCGCTTCCCGCAGCCCCTTTGCAGCATCTGACGAAGCCTGCCGCTGCTTACAAAAGCTTATGCTACACATCTCTGATTCAGGCAGTCTACAGGGTGCAAATCTGCCCTCTGCCCGACTTCAGGCTGGTGCAAGTAACTACCTCTGTGCCTCAGTAATGGATGCTGGAGATAGTAGTAGGGGAGCTGGGAACTTGGCTGGGACTGGCGGCATGTTCTCTTGTCTGCTGGTGCACTGTTAGCCACAAAGAGAGCAGCTCAGTGGTATTTGGATGGCAGGTGAAGAAAAGGGCAGGGCCACTTCAAACTGCAGGGAGCAGGGGAAGGCACGGCCCCAGGGGGAAAGCAATAGGTCCAGTGGTTGCTGCACGCTACGTTCATCACAGTGCCGGTGTGTGCACCCAGGAAGGAGGCTGCTCTTACCCAGCAGGAGTAGTGTGTGTGCATGCAGGTGTGTGCTCAGGATCCAGAGCCCTGACCCAACTCCCTCCAGCATCCTTTCAAAGAGCAGAGCAATCCCCTTTCTGCTGCCTTCATTTCATTAGCACTAGCCAGCCCTGACGAGGCCTTGCTAATGCCTGCAGTTGGAGTCTGGCCAAGGAACTGAACTGACTTGTGAAACCAGCCCAGCTCCCATGGACCAAATGAGAGACCAGCCTGGCTGGTTCAGGTAGCTAATGCCCATGTTGCTTGATGAACAGGTCTCAGCTCTACTTACCTGACTCCAGTTCCCAACTTCCCAGCTGGCTGTTACTGGGGCTGCTTCCGTAGCTGAGACCCTGAGGACAGACTCCTCCTTCACTACGTTCTCCTCCTCCTCCTGCGGCAGCTCTGGGTGCACTGGGGTGGGGAGAGAGGGCTCAGGTTCTCCGCTGCTGTAGGCAAGCGTGGTTTGGGTTCCCTGTGGGGACCCATCCCCTGGGGCTGCACTTTGGCGTATGTCTGCTGGGGTGGTCTCGTGGGCCCTGGCAGCAATGTGCATGGTGGGATCAGTCCTCTTCATTTCCTCTGAGTCTCCATCAGCCCACCCTGTAGAGGTTAGTGAGGTGGGCAGAATTGCTGGTGGAGCAGCTGTAGGGCTTTGACTGGAGGATCTTGGCACTGCAGGGGTCTGGGTGCCTGGGTGGGCTGGATTGCTTGGGGTAAGCATTTCAATTACTTGGGTAGATGGCCTGGTTGTTAGGGCTGTGGTGGCTGCTAGAACATCCTGGGTGGGCAAAACAATGGTGGAAGAGACTGTCTGGTTCTGCGCACCTCCTGCATGGACCAGCTCTTTGTCCAGTGAACTGTTTATACTCAGAATAGAATCAGCATCTTTTTGGCTGTCTCCCATTTCCTGCTTATCCGTAGGCACGTGGGAGAGGAAAGGGGTGGCATAGGCTACAGGGTACGGTGACTCACTTGTCTGTAGCTGGGGTGGCAGGGTAGGTGGTCTCCGGCTGGTGCCTATTGTCTCCTCTGTTGCAGCCCTACCTGCCTGTGCATCTGCATCTTTGGTTTCAGAAGCAGCAGCATCACCGTCACCGTTGTCATTATCATCGATGACTGAATCCATGTCACTCGCGTCTCCGTGGCCTTTCTGTGTAATGCCAGCCAAGATGTGGTCTTTCTTGCTGTTGTTATCAGGAACCTCTGTGCTTTCATGATCCTCTTCCCTGCTTTTAGGCTTTCCTGTGCTTTCAAGAATGGCGTGTGTGTCTTCCCCACCGGTGCTGTTCTTGTCAACGGGCAGCGGTGGAGAGCGAATGGCCAAATAAGGAGACGTGGTAGCGAGGTCGGTGATTGTAGAAATGGTACTTGTCAGCAAGGCTCCTTGGGGGTTATCAGTGGGCAGATTATCATAGCTGTTTATAGAATAATGGCTCGTTGCACTCAGAGTGGGTGGAGGGTCTTTGGAGAGCGGCGTATGCATTTCCTCCTCTTCCTCGTCTGTCATGTAGTAAGTGGTATAATCAGCAGGGGTTGTCTTGATAACCTCACGTTGAGTTACGCTGAAGAGGGTTTTGTTGACTTGAGCCCCCGCATCTTCCTGCTCGTCACCATGCACCTTTGCAGACGGGTTTGTTTCGCTGCCTGTTAAGATTGCTTCGCTGGAGTCTCCTCCTGGTTTCTCCTCATGTGAAGTATCAGGAGACACTTCATTGGACTCTTCCAGACTATTAGCTGTCTTGTCCCCAGGCTCTGGTTTAAGCCCATCGCTCTTGATGTCCTTCGCACCAAAAGGGTCATAGGACAGGTCTTCATGGAAATTGATGAAATTATAATCGTAGTAAAAGTCATCAACAAACACATTTCCCTTTTTGTTGCTGCTGGATGAAAAGTCCTCCTCGGGTATGACGTTCACGTCGTTGGACTCTGGGACATTTGGAATCGAAGGGCTAAATTTAGCAATGTGATTATGGGGCATGTGATGTATCTCATTAAACAGCTCTCTGCTGGAAGACCCACTGCCAGACCAGTCAGCATTGGCATTTTCTATTTTCTTTTGGCACGGCTGTAGGGAGCATGTCATTTCTGACCCTGGCTTTTCTGTAGGGTCGCAGGTCATCTGAGTATTGTTACTGCAGTAAACAGGGCGTCTCCGTGTCCCATTTCCACATGTTACTGAACACTAGAAAAGGAAGAAAAGAAACCAAGACATTAGCAAAGAGAGTCTGTGGTTTAAGTTGGTAAATTATGCTAAGGATGTGCATCGTCTTGGGAGCATGGGTATCCCTATGCAGATGAGCTGACATCATGACATAATATTGGCAAAGTAGGTATCACAATTTCATCAGAAGTCAAAACAGACTTGAGTTGAGCGAAGGTCCTGTGCCCTTAAGCAAAGCCCAATCACCTGACACCTGAGTGAGTGCTTGGGTCTTCTGGTTAGATATACAGCATAGAGCAACCTCTATATTGTTTTAAGAGTCTGGTGATGAGGCTTTAATTAAAAGCTGCATCCACTTCTGTCACAAACCACCTTACTGATATATTTATATCACAGGCTGAAGCATGGCCAACATGTTTTTGGAGCTAGGGGTAGCAAGGGGCAATGGCTAAGATGAGCTAATAGGTCTTTTCCATCTGCAGTTTCCATGAAGGACAGCTCTTCTTTTGAAAGAGGTTGTTAAATAAAGGGGCAATAAAGATGGGTGTTGTCCCATAAAATGAAAAATGTGAGGATCAAAAGTTTTGTTGAGGGGAAAAAGCACGTAACGGACCCATTGATATTTACTCAGCACAGAAGAGTTCCCACAAATCGGAAAGGAGGTCAATGAGATATCCCTGCTCAGTATGTAGAGTATGCATCCACATATGTTGCATTTGGTCTGAATGAGCCATAGGTTGACAGAGCTTTACTTAGAGGAGACACAAGTGCCTTGCTAAATCAAACCTAGCAAAAATGATCAATGGGCATTTTTAGATTGAAAAGCCATTACCGTGGCCACAAATGTACTTTTCAGTGACCACAGCACTGAAATCAGAGTATAAGATAAACTGCAAAGTTCAAGTTCTCAGTGTATTCTCTGAGTCCCTACATAGACTCTGGCCAATCTTGGCCTGGGCAAGGACTTGTAAATATGCTTCCTGCACATATACAGACAAACACACGTGGGCAAAGGTCCACAGCACTGCTCAGAGCTGATGTGGCCTTCAGCATGTGCTAATGGACCCTGTGGGTCGTTATCGCTGAATGATATAAAATTGAGGCTGGAAGGGAGCTCAGGAGGTCACTTCTAGTCCAACCCCTGCTCAAAGCAGGACCTGCACCAACTACATCATCCCAGCCATGGCTTTGTTGAGTTGTGTCTTCAAAACCTCCAAGGATGGAGATTCCCCTACCTCTCTAGGTAACCTGTTCCAGTGCTTCACCATCCTCCTTGTGAGAGAGTTTTTCCTAATAACCAACCTCAACTTCCCTTGCCGCAGCTTGAGCCCATTGCTCCTTGTCCTGTATCTGCCCCCACTGAGAACAGCCCAGCTCCATCCTCTTTGCAGCCCCCTTGCAGGGAGGTGAAGGCTGCTAGTCAATCCCCCTCTGTTTTCTCTTCTCCAGACTAAATCAGCCAATTTCCCTGAGCCTCTCCTCCCAGTCATGTGCCCCAGCCCCACAACCATTTTCATTGCCCTCCACTGGACTGTCTGCAATGTGTCCACATCCTTTCTGTAGTGGGGGACCCAAACCTGGACACAGGGCTCCAGATGAGTACTGTGTTGCATGGAAGAGCCCTCTGGCTACACCCCATCTCTTAGGTCCATAAGGGGAGGGTTGGTGACAAGGAGACCTCACAGGCTGCATGTTGTCTGGGTTTTCTCCCAGGCAGCTTGCCCAGTGGGGGCCGCTCTGTGAACCATATTGCAACCAAAGTACGTGGAAATGAGGCCCTGTTTCCTTTGCATGCTAAGACAGAGTTTCAGATGGTGATTTGCTACTGCAGTTGCTGAGGAAAGAGGAAGGATTATCCACTGGCCAGGCCAGAGGAGAGGAAGGTTCAATTCCCTGCTTCTCTGCTTTCCACAAACTTATCCCAGAACGAGCGTTAATTAGCCTGAGGGGGGATTTGACAATAGTCTTGAAGGGTGATGACAGAGAGGATGGAGATAGGCATTTCTCCGTGCCTGTAGGGGACAGGACTAGGAGCACTGGCCTCAAGCTGCAGTGGGGGATATTCAGGTTGGAGATGAGGAGGAAATCCCTGACTCAGAGGGTGGTTAAGCATGGGAACAGGCTGCCTACAGATGTTGTGGAGTCTCCATCCTTGGAAACTTTCAGAAGTAGGCTGGACAGACGTGTCTGGTGGGGCTTTGTCAGGGATGATCCTGCCAGGAACAAGGGCTGGACTGGACAACCTTCCTGCCTGATGTTCTTATGAGCCCATGATTTCCTGGGTGACCTTAAGTCACTTAGCCTCTTCAGACAGTTTTTGCGCTGGAGGGACCCACAACAGCATCTTCCCCATTCCCCCCATGTGGCCCTGGAGGTCTGAGTGCTTCTGCATTTACCCAGTGCTGACTGCGCTGCTCACCCCATGTGCCTTGGTATCAACGGGCAGGCTGGGGCCCTCATCTATCTTAGCTTAATGCCTCCTTAGATATGTGAAATATGAGTGAAATCAAGACTGAGGAATGTGTGGGCACAAGGGCAGCTTGTTGATAGACATACGTGCCCCCGCTCAGGCATTTTGTCATGCACAAAACAGGACTGAAGTGAAGGATTTCTACATACAGCTGGTTGTTGATGGGACCCTCGTCCACTGCTTCTCCCCGCCAGGACGCTGTGGTTGAAACCAAGGGAATACAGAGCAATATCCACAGCTTGTCCCTCACAACAACATATGCTAATGCCCAGACAATGTGTAGCAAATTTGGCTGAAAAGCCCCAAGGGAACGGAGTTGTAGAGCAGAACGCCTCACCGGATCCTCAACCCCTCACCATTTCAACCGAGGAGACTGCCTCCCGCGTTGGGAGAGGAAGAGACTGCAACAACCGATGATCTTAGGAAGGCTTGACATGCACAAAGGGTTAAGGAAAGACTGTGTAACACTACATGATGGGGGCTTGTAGGTCTACACACACACACACACACACACACACACACACACTCAGTAAACAAACACATTTAATTAACCTGAACCTCATTTAAGTGCAAAGAGAAGTCATTCACAGAATCTAGCACATTTAACACGGATGCGCATTGGAAACTTCCTGAATGAAAGGACCAACAGCTCTCACCAAGCAAAGCACCTAGGCATGTGTTTAAATCCCCTACTTAAAAGCCATGCTTAAATGCTGTGCTTGATAAGGGCCCGTGTGATTATAAGGCTTTCCTATTATAATTGTACAGGCTTAGCTATTATGTCCCTGTCAAGTTTTCTCCCCTTTATTTTCTATCTTTCATTGTGGCTGAGAGAGAGAAAAGGAAAGAAGACTCTTGATTAGAGATAAGAAAGAATTTGTAGAAAATAATAGGGGATCTTTGGAAAATCCCCAAAGAATTTTTTTCTGGACTCACTATTGATTGTAAGGCCAAAAGGGACCATTGTGAGCATCTCATCTAATCTCCAGCCTAACGCAGACCATATCACTTCTCTGAATTGGCTGATTATTTCAACCAGGGCAGCCTTCTTTCTCAATCAAGGGATTGTGGCTTTGTCTCAGAAAATTCCCATTTATCATTCACATTTTTTCAGTCGCATCTTCTTCCTCCTGTTATTTTTCAGTCACAAATACTTCCTTTTTTATTGTTCTATTGATTTTTTTTAAATTAAAAGTTTCTAATTTCTTCTTTTCTTGGGGAGAATGGAAAGTTTTGGAAATATAAATCTTATTTTGAATTTACAATTTTTTTGGTAAAGAAAAACACACAGCCTATGATTTAAGCTGAACCATCAATCAACATGCTCCCACACCTCCCAAAAGCTGAGTAGATTTTCAATAAAAGTGCCCATGGAATATTTCTTATAATATGAGACAATTTGGACGTAGGCTTGAATAAAGAATTCAAGATGTTGCTTGTGAGCGAGAGCCACATTTCACAGCAAAAATCATTTTACAGAAAAGTTTTCCCTGACTCCATGCTCACTTTGTTGCCCCACTTTCTGCAAAGCCCCTTAGGTGCTCTGGCCGTGCAGGCTTCAACCTCCAACTTCCAATGCAGGGTGGGGGAGATGAGGCCAGTAGGGTTAGGGAATAATTGCCCTCCGAGGGCGCTGAGCACCAAGCACAAAGAGCCATTTCCTTGCAGAAGCCCCTAGTCCTGATGCAGGCCAGGAATGGGGCTTTCTCCTAGGCCCCATCACACTGCTATGCTCTCCCTATTCCAGATGTTAGCCTACACTGAGGCCCTTGTATGCTGGAGACCCAGGACAAGCCACACTGGTGCAACACATCTGGACTGGGTTTTGGCATTGCTGCAGATGCACCACTGTTGCCACCCCTGGGTATATATCCCCATATAGCCAGGGCCTGCTGTTTAGCCAGAAAGAGCCTTAAAAAAAGATGTAACCACACCAAGCCCCTTGGGATCTGCTCTTCCACAGGCGGCTGCAGAGAAATGGTAATAAATTCCATCTGCAAATAGACAGCGCCTGCTTAGATAAATACTGGAGGGGGGAAGCAGGGGCTACTTCTGTAACTTGCTATACTGCACTTTTTGTTTCTGGCTTTAAAACAATGATTGTGGAGATGATCAGCGTGAAGGTTGCATGGGTCAAGGTCAGTGCTGACACTTAACAAAACCCCCAGTCTTATGAGAATCCCTCTGCTTCCTGGATTCAGCGGGCTGACTTATCTGTTGCAATCCATTAATAGCAGGGCATCCCGTAAACTAATTGGAGAACAATCTGTACTGCTCACTCCCCATATAGCCAAGTGGGCTAGGCTGGCCAGAGGGCTTTTTGAGAAGAGAAGGGTTCATTTCCTCCCAGCCATATATTACAAAGAGTAACCAGCTGCTGGCCAATGTGCCCACCCGCTGTTATGGCTTGCCAAAAACACCTTGTTTCAGGAAACTTAAAACACGAGCTGGAGGCTGCCAGAGTTGAGGGTGGAAACTTTCTGAGCTGGAAAACATGCAAAAGGCTTTAACAGCTCTTATTTCTGTGATTCTTGGTGCCAAAAATGGCCTATTTACTTTGCCCTGATGGAGAAAACAGCACAATTCACAGGCAGAGGGAAAGCAAAGATGAAAACTGCCTGGGGCTCATTCTTTCTGTTAAGATCTGTCTGAACCACAAGCCTGCCTTGCATGTGAGCTGGCTGTAGACTTGCAGCTCCTCCAAGAGAAAGAGAGAACGAGAACTGTGCTGTTCAGTTTATCCAGAGCCCTGCTGCTTGCTGGGGTGTCTGAGAGCTGGCAGCATGGGAGCTAGACCCTGCACCGGCCCCCTGCCCCAAGGATTTTGCCTCTGTCACTGGAGGGAGCCCATCTGGGAAAGCCTGTGTGTCTCACTGCCTGGTTCCAAGAGACAAGTGCAATGGAAAAGGGCAACCTAATCCCCCCGCACACCCTGGGAACGTTTATCTACATGGGCCCTCAAGCCTCTTCAGGAATGAAGACTAATGTTCTCTCTACCCTTTGACTTTCTCACCTCGGACCAGTTGCCCACAGCCCACTGAGCAGGGCAGGCGATATCCCTATTGCAGGGACCGGCAGCTTCTGGCTTGGAGAGGGGCTGACACTCCTCGGGTGGCAGGGCTCTCTGTTCGTCCACCCCCACGCTCTGGATGCAGAGGACCGTCCTTCTCGTGAGCCCTGTTTCGCCGCACGTGGCAGAGCACTTCTGCCACTCGCCAGCCCACCATCTAGGAGAAACACAAGCGAAGAAAAGTCAGGTGGCGCTACCCCTTCACGCGTCCTGGCTTATTTCTAGACCCCCCCAGCCCTGCAATGTCATGCTGAACGGTCCACAGAGAAGGGCCTGGATTTCAAATGCTTTGAAGAGCATGCAGCAAGTGTTTGCACCGAAGAGCCGGTTGTTTGTGGAGAGAGAAGCCACTTGCAAAGCTCAGGGCTGCACCTGGATGCTTGCTGCCTCTCCAGCAGGCAGCTCAGAAGGGCTGAGAGAGAGGCTGGGGTCCCTGGGGAAACTGGGACCTTGACTGGGGGTGCATCTCAACCCTCCAAAAACTCAGATCCAGGCTGCAGGCCTGCGATTTGTCTCCGGCTTCGCGTGCGACTTACCCTGCAACATGGTGGGGGTTCCTGGTTTTTTCCAGCTGGGTCCCTCCCAGTGGTGCTTACTGTCACAGGGTCCGACTTGCAAATCCTTACTCACAGGAGTGACCCCTGGGACGTCACTGTGAGCCAAGATTGCCTCACAGGATCAGGGCCAATGCAGGGTGTGGGGATGAAAACCATGGCGTCTAACAGTTCTGCTTATGCCCCAAACCCAAGCTCAGTGCCGTTTCAGCAGCACGAGTTTGCTGCACAGAGCCTGGCCCTGGTCACTACAGGAGAGGAGCAGGGGGAGCAAGGAGAAGCAGACCTGGCGGGGCAGGACTCCTCGCTGCACGTCCGCTGCCTGTCGTCGGGGCGGCTTAACGAGTCGCAGTACCGCTCCTCCACGATGCCCGCCATCTTTTCAACACAGTGCACAATCTGTCTCTGAACACCTGGGGAGAGAGAGACCACAAACACAGGTTCACTGGGGCAAGCGGGGCCCTCGGTGAAACTGCCCTGGCATGTCGAGAGCCGAACACCTGCCGGCTGCCGCAACAATCAGCTCCCTTGACGGGGGGGTCGGAGGCCTGGAATGCTGTAATTAAGTGGCCACTGAATGCAATGATTTGGGCCGGGGGTCAGCAGATGTCAGGTCTGGATTGCAGCTTGTCGAGACGCACACGTACAGTACAGATCATCAAGAATTAACAACCAGCGCCTTTGTCTGCCTTCCCCCTTTGTTGGGCAGCCTGTTGGCAGCAGCTCCCTTGCTCAACTCCCTGTTTTCAATCACCCAGAAGAAAAATGATTGCCTTAGAGAGAGAGAATCCCGACTATGTAGGAGGAATAAAATTAACTCCTTTCAATGGTCCCTTTAAAACAACAAGCTACATAAATGCCAGTCAAGTCCCCACGATGGGGCAGCTTTTCTCCTTCTGTTTCATTTACCCCAAGCTGCTTTAGCCATTGAAGAAAAAAAAAAAAAAGCCACTGCTAACAAAAAACAGGAGGCCTCCTAGCCACCTGGTAGGAGAGAAGGGAAAGGAAACCCTTGAAGGCTGCAATTTGAAAGCCCCCTCCTGCCCCGTGCCCACGGTGCCCACCCAGAAGAGCTCAAGACCATTCCCCAGACTCACAAAGTCTAAACGTTTCTGCTCAGCAGCCACTTCAGGTTGCTGGCTCCACAATGGCACAGATTGTGGGGGGAACAATGCTCCCATTGTTGGGCAGAAGTGCAAAGGGGAGTGGGAAACCCAATCCGCGCATGTTATCACGATCAGATTTATGGAGCTTCGCAGTGCTGGAAAAAGGATCCTGGCTACAGGTCTCCTGCCAGGCGCTGCAGCCCAGAGGTGAAGGGTTAGAAATAATACCAATCTGTCCAGGGCGCAGACACCAAGTCTCTCAAAGCAAAACACGTCACGCACGGGCACGGCGTCCCCAGGGAGGCAGGACACATTATCCGTTTGCCCAGCGTGAGATAAAGATTAGTTAGATGCTAATCCCGGCCAACCCAAACACAGAGCTAGCGCCTGATTACTGAAAGATTTGGATAAATCTTGTAGCTGCCTTTAAAAAACCATATGTCAGGTTGTACTTTGTCGGTTCCCTGTCGGAGCTGGGGGTGGTCAGGAAACAAGGCAGAATACGCAAGGATGTTTTCTGAAGTCTGTGGCCCTGGGAAGAGCACGAGCTGCTTGCACTATGTGCTTCAAGGAAAACAAAATGAACTTTAGAGCCTAATATTCATCTCCCCCTACTTTAACCTTCATCCAGAGAGAAACTGCCTATGCTCCAGGCTCTGTGCCACTCCTAAAGAGCACAGCTTGCTTTCATGCGACACAGCTTGCACTGCAGCATGAGGAAAACTGCGAAGGAAGAAAGAGCCAGGAAGAGGTCTCCTAGCCCGTGGCAGCAACACTGGGGCTGCACTTTGCATCTGCCTTTGACTCGAGTCATAGCTGCCTCAGGAACAGGCAGGGGGGCCCCCCTGGCACCCGCTTCTCCCCAGCATCCTGCAATGTGCAGGTTTGGTGGGTGGAAAAAGCAGGTGGCAGCGCGGTTCAGCAATCAGGCAAAGTACCCTGGGTCTCGTCTGTCTGGGGGTCCATCAGATGACTCTCTCATGTCTCTGAACAACAGGGACTGAGAAACAACAGAAGGACAATCTTCACCTGCTGCTGTCTCCATCGGGCCCTGGCGGACACGCTGGCCAGACTGGACTTCTGCTGCAATTGGAAGGAGCACTGGGCATAGCAGGCTGCAACTATGATAACTGGTCTGCTGGGGAGTGCAGCCCCCCATGCAGCAAAATCCCACTCCCAACCAAGTCTTGGGGAGTGTGGCTTGCTCCTTTTCTCTTTTTTTTCTGATCCTCCAGGTTATTTTAATGTAATTGTTTGTTGGAATATACATGTACCTATTAGCTCACTCATAACCAGGCCTGTTTAAAATAGGAAGCATCTGGTGAAGGAATAAGAAGGATCCCCCGCTGACTCCTTCTATAACGGGCGTGTTGCTCATTATTACCTATGACAACATAGCACAGGGCAAACTTGATTTCCTTTCAATTATAAACAGCTGAACCATAAAAACCAGCTGTGAGCCAGTCTCTCTGCAGGTGGAGAGTCCTGTCCCACATGGGATCTGCAGGGCTTTTCAATCTGGAATGAGGGGCAGCTTTTGAATTGTTGTACCTCTTATTTAATTGCCAGCTCTTTCTCTGCAAAAATGCAAGTGGTAGCAGCCAGCTCTCTTGGCTTTGACAGGTCCCAGCTCAGTGCAGTTAATCCACCTGGGGAGACTGTGAGTGTCTGGCACAGAAAACTGAACCGTCTTTAATGCGCAGGAAGGGGACGGTGATTAATGCTGAACGACGGAGGTGCTAAACATCTGTTTCCCTTGTACTCCAGCCCTGGGCACAGGACTGCCCGAGCTCCTTGTCCTATTGCTGTGGCCAGACAAAAGCGAAGCAGCAGTTTGACTGATAAAAGCAGCAAGGCTCCCAATTTCTGAGTGGTGTTGATGGGGGGGAACCCACCCCTAGCTCAGTGCCTGTCCGTGCCAGGGGAGATACCCGCCCTGCGCATGCCTGCACTTTGCAGCTGTTGACCTTTAAACTGTTGTATTTGTGTGGCGAGGCTGGACACGCGTGTGCTTACTACAGCTCACCGACTGCACCCTCCCTGCGAGAACAAAGTGCAAGACGAGTCCCTGGCATGTCCACTGGCGTGGTCCCAGGCAGCTCTTCTGCCCTCGCTACCGGAGCTGCTCCTGGGCTTTACGGCTTGTGCCTGCCTCTCTGCACCCTGCAAGGCTGATGCCACTCGGATTCTGTAGTGGTGCAGCACAGTCAGGCTGGCAGAGGCCTCGAGAGGTCACATCTAGCCTAGTCCCTGCTCCGGGCAGGACTATCCCTGTCTAAACCTTATCCTCAACAACCCAGGATCTAGTGCATTTTACTTACTTTTATTTAAAGGGTTTGAAGTGACTTCTAGTCCCCCCGAGAGCTGAACACCGGCAGTCCATCGGTCTGATGTCCTGCAGTTCCTGCATCTGCCCCATCACTCCCGACTGAGCTACAGCAGATCTTGGAGAAACAGCAATTTATGGATTTCAGCTCCTGAGAAACTGCTCTTCAACCCTGGTAGGAACACAGGACTGCAGGGGCCTCCTGGGCCACTGAGCTCAGTCCCTTGCATTTGCAGCAGGCACTTGCCAAGGAAACTCCCGAAGTCACCAATTCAAACCCCCGTGCACCTACAAGGCACAAACCAGAAACACCAAGCCTGTGTCCTGAATGCCCTCAGTAAACCCAGGAGAGCTATGAGACTGCCAGCTGCTTCCCACTGCAGCAACAAGGAAGGAAGTGGTGAATTAATGCCCAGAGGATCCCAAGAAGAGGACTATGACCCACTCTCTGGAGGGAGCCTCCCCCGTCTCGCCAGTCTGCCTACAGGAAACATTCCTTCCTGACCCCAAACTGTCTCTACAGCTGCTCAATTAGTACAGGACACATCTACATGGTGACTCATGTCTTGACAACACTACACATCAGTGTCTGACTTCTGTAGCTTTTTGCTCAGAAACAGCTATCCAGATGTTCAAAGTAGCTTTTTCCATTAAAGCCAGTAGCAAGTTCCCACATTAGTGTCTTTAACCCTTCCCCAGCTGGAGCGCGGAGGAGCCCATTCTTTTCACACCAGCTAAAAGTCCCCGGTATTCGCGGCTGCAGCTACGACTTTTAGACTTTTCAGTGAGTTCAGACAGAGACGAGCACCCAACAGGTCAGTGCAGCCGCCGGCTTCTTGCATGCAATAACAATGCATTGCTGTGCATCGCATGTTGCCCTCTGCTAGAGCAATAGCCAAGCAAGATGTCTCCAGAGAGGAGGGGTGCTGGTTTCATGGTCCCAACAACCTTCCAAGCTCTCCAGCACTGGCACAGAGGAGCTTGTATCTCCCATGTAGTTGAGGGTGATTTCCTGAGACTTGACATATCTCCAGCTATCTCTGAACCAAGCAGTCCATTAGCTTGAGATTAATGTCTTCCCTAGGGGTGTAGAGGACTCGAGATTGCAAAATACATCTCCCAGGGAATGGACTCTGCTGTTGTGTTCAGAAGTCAGTGAGGTCAAGGTGGCCAGAGGGGTTTTGCAGAAGCAAGCTAGGCCGCCATCCATAAGGCCTTGGGTCATGCTATGCAAGTCACAGCTGGTCAGAGAGGACTCTGACCCTGACCCCATGAAAGCCTTTAGTCACGGCCCCCCAATCCAGATGACCATCCCATCCACCCGACAGAGAGGTCTCCAGGTGGCAGCCGTCCGCTGGAGGGGAGTGGACAGGGCTGGAGGCACCTGCCACCCACCTGTTTTCCCCAGTTGAAGAACGTAGGACTGGAAGGGGCTACTTGGGTCACCATACTGACACTGCACCCTCCAGCCTGGCTGTGCACCCTCCTCCAATGTTTGCATACTGTTCCCATGCTCCGATGCCTCATTTTTACCCATCAGTGTCTGCCCTTGGGTCAGTCCCCTCCAACACCTGGTCACTTTTGTTGGCCCACTATTGTTCAGCCAGCGGGATGCACACGAAGGGACAGGACAGGGCACTCGCAGGGGTCGGTCTTTGCAGCACAGCAGAAAGCCGTAGCAGCTGCTTTTCTTCCAGCCCTCTCACACTTTAAACTCAGCCTTTGTTGCCCCTTTCCTTGAACACGCAGCCTCTCGGCTTCCCAGGCTTTCTCTGGCATCTAGCGTGCTCATGCTGGATTGCTTCCCCTGAACAGACTACCTCCAGGGCTTGTTTCAGTATTCGCCTTTTCTGCCAGTCCTTCTCATTCCTCTCACTTGACCCAGAATCTGCATTCCCCTTTGCTTGTCTGGAAAACCGGCCTTTTTCCCCTTGTGGAAAATCATTGTGAAGAACCCCGGTTCTTGGCAGGCGAGCACAGA